GATAAGTATTGGATATATGTATCTAGTGTATGTATCGGCTTGACCCACGTTACGTTAGCTTTCCATCAAGCACTTATGAGCTCTGAATTAAGGAATTGTTAAACAATATAATTGCAAGATGTTTCTGTAATGTTCGTGACTTACACGAAAAATTTTACAAGCTCCTCAAGTCTTTCTAATTTTCCATTCGCCGACATACGAAATAGCACCAATCATATCTAGCAAATGAAATTTTGTGCTTCTACTTTTCTAACCATCCAAAGCCAAATGGATACCTGTTAAAGTTCATTAATATACAATAGACTCACCAATTCTCAACAAATAAAAGCCGATTTTAGCCTTTATGTAGCTGGTATCTTTAAAGACGTTTAAAATAAAATTTTTAATGACCGACATTTGACATTTATGACCTTAAATTATCAGATATAAGATACGGCATAAGAAATAAACGATAAATTAATAAGAAATGGCTGATCCTTATTAATAATTACTATTCGGTAACTGCTCATTATAGGGCTTACACAAGGAAAGAAAGTAAAAATATACCAAATGTGTACACATGCTTAAAAGAAAAATAGATTGAAATCGATATTGATTAGAAAATTATGCTTATTTAAAAATCAAAGTAATAATTAATCATATCTTTTTTCCTATTTACTTCAATGTTATGTTATTTTTCCTTTCGATAAATAATTTTTTTACGCGAATTTTTTAATAAAAACTTTTTTCTATTTATTTTTAGAATGTTTTTTTATCATTGCTTACGTATTACTTTCATACTCTGCCTATAGTATAATGCCTTTATTTATTGACATACAAATAATTAACAAGGTTGCGAACGTTAAATTTTAATTATTTTCTTTCTTTTTTCTTTCTTTTTCTTTTGCTACAAAATAGAATTAAAAAAATTATACATTACTTTGTAATTAATTCGATGAAATAAAGTTTTTCAATCTATAAGAGTGTTATTGTATTTAAATAAGAAATTATCTCCAAATCATTAAATATATTACTAGTTTATTAAATTTTAATAGCTTATCAAATTTATAAATAATAATATTTATATATTTATAAAGAATATTATGATATTTATAAAGAAATGTAATACAATAAAGTTATTGACTGCCTGCAATAATAAATTAATAAAAGCATGAGTTGCGCTTGACTTTACAAGGCCATTTGATTTTCACCAGCATTAACACAAATTATACTTAACCGATAGTATCTTCGATATTTAATAGCTTACAAACACTCTATAAATAAGCCAAACAGATATTCGCGACAAATTAAGTATATATATATATATATATAACTCGACAGGTTTCATATGATATCATGCACATAAATCTAATTGCATATTATCATAAATTTGCATGATTATTTATTTTTACTTCCAAGCTCAAGTTTACAATAAGAAAATCGTCTAACGTCTTGACAGCCGAGATAGCCATTTTCTAATCAGTCCGCAATTATAACAATCAGCATATATTTTTCCTCTGGAAAACTTCCTCTTAAAACTCTCCCTGTCCAAACTAATTGTTGCATAAAAAAAATTAAGAAAGCCATCAAGTCATAATTCGCATTGGACAAAGTCAAGGGCTCGCGCGCTCGGGCGCATGCGCTCAAGCCGATATCTACCGATCGCCGCTGGCGATGCTCCAAATAGACTTGTGACCGTCGCGGGGTCGTTGCTGATAAAGCACCACCCGATTCAACTTAATGTCAAGGCGATGTCCAAAGGAGTCGCCGCCTCGCTGATAATTATTTTCTCCCCCCAGCACACCTTTTTCTTTTCCCACCCGATCTCTTCACTGACGCAGACATAGAGACGATAAGCTGGCCGCAACAGCTGTACTATAAGCATTAAGGTAGTGAGCTGAAAAATTCAGTCACTCCTAAAAATGCGGATAAATAGCTCTTTTCTAAGTACTGCTCTACTTAACGTATACGTTTATTTCAGTTTTTATTGGCTTTTTTTTTGTTTTTTTTTTTTGTCTTCCCAGAGACTTAAGTAATCACAGCAAGTATAAATACATTTCACATATGTGCGTATTAATATGTTTTGAAAGATTTCATCGGTACACTTTTATTATTCTACTGCATAGCATTATGATTGAATTTAAGGCTATTTATAATTGCTGCATAATGCAATTGCTTGATATCCAATAAGAGAAAGAAAAATAAATATCATACCAGCGTTTATTAGCGAATATTAGCGCCAATTAATATTTCACTTTTATATTAAATTTCAGGCTATAAAATTAATAAATAAATTATTCTAGTTCTTCAAATTATTTTAGTTTCTCAAAAATTATTTATCAATCAAATAATTAATAAATTCAAACTAATGCTTCTAATGTAACTCCAAATTCGTAAATAGACTTATTCAATCCAATCGTTATCCACAAATAATTTTATAATTATAATAAATGAACATATTTAGATTCAGATATAGTGATTTCATTTCATTTTTATTAACGCTAGGGATCACTTAAGCATTTTTACTTTCAATCGTTGTATCTTTTGAGTCGCATTGAATGTACTATAAATACGCATAACGTGGGTGTATGTAATATTTAGTGTTTGCAAACAAAAGGCCCTTCGTATTATTTGCACACGAAATGACTTGCGACATGTAAGAAAACTTCGTAAATACCGAAAATACGTAGTTAGTTGCATACAAATAGATATAATTTTTTTCAATGAAATTATTCAATGTAATTAAAAATATGTTATCGTCACAGTTTAAAAACTAATGTCAAAGAGCATTAATATATTAATCAAATTTTTATAGATTTTAATGCTATGAGGTAACACTTTTCTCTCAGTACAAAAACTAAAAGAGGGGAAAAAAAATAAACAATCGCTACTTTAATGGTACTTGTATTGTTTAGTAGAATACGGCCATACATTAGGATTTTATCATAATTTAAGAAGTCGCCGCTCGATACCTAATCGATATAGCTATTGCAATGAATAGGTCACTAATTCCCAGCATAACGAGCCCTCGGTAATTTTTCGAGTTAATTCGATTTGGAAATTGCCTGGATTATCCGTCACGGAGCTACCGAAAAAGTCGTACGAACAGCTGCACTAGAAATAGGCGATAGATTCACAAGAGAGGGAAGTGCCAGCTGCGTCGCACTTAAATATTTCTCTCTCTCTCTCTCTATCTCTATCTCTCTAACTATCTCTCTCTCTCCCTATCTCTCTCTCTCTCCCTATCTCTCTCTAATCATAAAAGCCAATAGCCTATCTCTCTCTCTCTCTCTCTATCTCTATCTCTCTAACTATCTCTCTCTCTCCCTATCTCTCTCTCTCTCTCTCGCTCCTCAAAATCATAAAAGCCAATAGTGTATATGGCAATTTAATATTAAAGCCGCGCGAATGTCGAGGCGAAAAATAAAGACAAAGCCAAATAAGAAACATTGATTATAGCTAATGATGCCTATAACGCGTAAACAAATGCAAACGCCCGGACGATATCTTATCAGTCTACTTACGACCAATATTATCACAAAGCGCTTGTACTCCGCACGTGATTGTCTTCAGGATTCTTCGTATTTATTTAAACAATATCAGCGATAATTATGGATATATTCGATTTTTGCTTCGCGCCCCAACGCAACGTGGCATAGCAATGGTAAAGCATGAAGGAATAAATACCACGTGCAACTCAACAAAGTAAATTATTCCGGGATTTACCCCACTTTACCCCGGATTCGTCATTGGCTGAAAATACGCGTGCGCGAATAGCAACGCGCGAGTCTTTCTCTCCAGTCGCTCCGTTAATTCTCACTTCGTAATAATGCCGGTACACAATAAAGCGTATTTGGGACACATATTTTTTTCATTCTTTTTTATGACGATGCGTCACGTATGGTTACGAAAGTGGAGCGGTGAGATAATTTTCCCTTTCTCGACGTACTGACATGCACGCATTAACATTTTTCCGCGGGGATCGATCTCTGGTCGGGTCAATAAAAAAAAATATAAAATCTCACCGTAACAATACCGACTTCGGGAGCTTCCATACGGATCAATTGTTTGTAAAAATACCACCGCTACTCCCCCAGCCAAGACCTTCCCCGCTAAAACGTCCGTGAACATTAAATCGAATCAAAATAAAATACAAGAATGCAGCCAGGGCCATAGGTTTTCCAGAGCTACGCTATAATATCACGGAACCGAATTTCCTGATTCGGCAATCGCACGATATCGTTGAGATAAATTGTAATCCTTGGGAGCACTAAGGCGCACTCGTGTAACTTTTATCAGACCCCTTTCCACTTTCATAATAACGCTCAGCGCCGCTGACATAAATTTCTGCCAAATATTTAAATTACCAAACATATAAATAAGAGTTGGTAGAAAATAAGGTAACAATATGTAAAAACGTTGTACGCAGGTTGAAAACTAATGGACAAAAGCTTCCATTCTCATTAGTTTTAAAGAAATTCTTTCTTATAAATGTAGATGTATAGATGGGCATTGAATTAAAAATGGTCGTACCAATAGCTTCAATATTACGTATTTGCAAATTTTATTGTTCAAAAATATTATTTTGTTATATATATATATATATATATAATTCAACGCAGCTCACTATTCCTTCGTTTATCCTAATAATAAATAGGAGAATATAATTGCCTACAGGTCTACATTACAAAGCTTTGATGCAATCAAAGTTTTGAACATGCAAGAAAGTTATCGCTCGCACGCGAAGATTTCGCTAAACAGTTATATTTAGTCAAGTAGCCGGCTTTTTCTCCAAGTTATTAACCGTAGCCAATAGTCGATTAATTGCCAAAGTGGATCATACAAAAATCATAGAAAGCCCTAATTTCGTGAAACAGTAAATTGAAGGTGTCCCTCTGGTAGTTGTCAATGGGTATTGGAATCGACTTCACCGAAGGGAACGGTGAGTTTGCATCAACACCCGCGTCCTTTTACAATTTCATCCGAGCATAATGACGTGGGAGTTGCAGCGGTGAATTTACCTGCTTCTCAGGCCGTGGCAGCGTCTCGACGTTGGTCCCGGCGACGACCGGCGCCTTCTCCAGTCCCCCGTTCTGCTGATTAACGCCGTAGTTTGCCTCGGAGCCGTTCATATTCGCAACATTATTCGCATTATCAGTGGAGGTTAGGTTGCTCCTGGTCGTCGTCCTTTCCCCACCTTCGCCATCACCGCCTCCGCCTCCGCCTCCGCCTCCGCCCTTTCTCTCCTCTCCCGTCATCGCTCCTTCGTCCTCGCCCACCCCCAATCGTTTCGTCCGTTTTTTCCCGTTGTCCCTCTCTTTTATCTACTTAAATTGTAATCTCTAATGAATTGCCGCTCTTTCAACTCTCTCTCTCTCTCTCTCTAATATTCCCCACTCTCTATCGCCACCGCCACCCTGAGGCACTCGCGGATCTTTAACTCACGACGAAATCGCTGGACGCCCAATTTATCGAACGCGTCCAGAGTTCGCGCGCGCGTACGTACGTACTATGCTCGACTCGTGCTCTGGGACGCGGTGAGAGAGAGCGACTGAAATATCATACAAGTTAAACACGAGGAAGATATATATATATATATATATATATATATATATATATATATATATGTATGTATATATACATATAAAGAGAACGAGAGAGGAAAGGGAAGAAAACCCGAGGGGTCGTTCGCTCCCTTGTGTGCGCTCTAGCTCCGTTTATTTTTCTTTTCTCCCTTTTTTCCCGTATACGAAAAACTCATGTATACCCTCGCACGGATTGGTCCTTATTTATAATTGAACCGTGTCGGTTTATTAAAAAGCGTGTAGCAATTCCCCACGTTACTTCGACAACGGAACGAGCATCAGCCCGTACTGAACCGAGCGGCCAGTTACACTAACTCCTTATGCTCCAAAGTAGCCAGAAGGAAGCGCGTACTTGGACTACTGTGCCTCTACCCTCCCTCTGTCTCTCTCTCTCTCTCTCTCTCTCCCTCACTCTCTGTCTCTGTCTCTCTATCTACCTATCTATCTCTTCTCCGGGGTATATATCTACAAGCGCGTGTGACACATATAGATATAACGAGCGCGCGCGTGTATCTTTGGTCGGACGTCGACGGTACTAGGGAGACGAGAGACCCTTCTCCCTTTTCCCCACTGACGTACTATAGTATACGCTCGTACTCTCTTTACAAGAAGTCACGTAAGCCAAGACTTACACCGGGAGCTCTAACGAAACGCGTCCGTCCTCTTGAAGAGTTGGGACCACTTTGCCGAGGGCAAAGCCGAGCTCCGCGACATCTGCTGCCAGGGAGTTATAGCTTTTGCTTTCTCGTTCTTTCTCTCTTGCTCTCTTTCCCATGCCAAGCCCCTCCACCTTTACCACTTCTTCATATCGCTGCATATATAACTCCGTGGCTGTATTATACTGTATCCTACCAGCCTCTTTTCTTTCCCTTTTTTTTCATTTTTTATTTTATTGTTTTTGCACACTTTTACTACTCGTGGCACTCGTTGTTATGCTGTGCTGATGCTTCTAAGTTGTTGGAATAATAATTTTCTTTTGGTACTAATGACATTCGAACGATTAAAATATTTCTTCAATTTTATTTTTACTGCCAACCAATGCATGCGCTTACACAATCTTTGTGCAAATTTACGCACTAGTTGAGTATTTTATTTCGCGGGTACTTTAATAAAAATGTTTTATTATTATATAGCGCACTGTAATACAAATTTTACTCTCAATTTAGATGATTTGAAAGATAGAATTATAAGATATCCGTGCTTTTTCAATACGATGAACTTATGCTTATATAAAATATTTGCCAAAATTGATCAAAATCACTATTAAAATTTCAAAACAAATCATATTAATGATTTAAAAAAAACAATAAATAAACTACACCAGAATTGTGTAATTGACTATTTTAATACACGGATTTCTGTAATGGTTTAAAATTTTATTTTTTATCCTTTTATAAATATTGATTTAACTCTGATTATATTATATGGCCTATACGTCTATAACATTAGTTATCAAATTTTGTATTATAAATTGCGCTTGTGTTATTTTATATGGATCAACAATTTCAATTTTAATTGCAATAATAGTTAATAAATTAATCTTAATTAAGTTATTATTAGAAATTTTATGAAAAAATAATATTAAATGATTCTGAACATAAATGAAACTTGATCCTTTATTCATTATTGTTAACAACAATCGGATGATTTGTGATAAGTCAGTAATTACATTTATATCACATTTTCACTTTAATTTATTTGCGTTATTGTGTATTTTTAAAGTATATTTTATTTGTGGTAACAATGTTTAAGTTAACTGTAATTTGAGACATTAAATTCAGTTAAAGCATTTAAAAAAAAACTAATTTCAATTGACTGTCTGGACTAATATTTGAACAAGAGAAAGTAATCAGGAAAATGAGTCATATTGTTAATGAAATATTGCTAAGAATTTTTCAAAATAATCAACTTAATATTAAATTTTACTATAAAAATAACAACAAAATTTTAAAACAAATAAAAATTTGTAAAAATAAATATTTTTTTCATTCGTCACTTGACTTATATTAGTACATAACTCATTTCAAATTACTTAATATGTTTGAATTTTAAAATATATTATTCAATATAGTTATATCTCAATAATCCTTAGCAATTACACTTAAGTTTACAATTTTTAAATAAATGAAAAATTCTGTTTTACGTATAGAATAGACAAATTTCAATTTTTATAGAAATACAAACTGTGTATAAATAATATAAGTAAATAATTCTACATTTGAATTCTATAATATTTCATTTGATAAAATTTTATTTGGGAAAGTAAAAGTACTGTTGAATACTTCATTTTTATAATTTTTGCGGAAAAAAAAATAATAGACTTAATCACCATGAATTTTATTTAGATGATTAAATCTAAATTAATCATCGGTGTAATATTTAAAAATATATATTTCTATATAAAAGCTTAAATTTCCATTAACTTATATAGCATTTTATCATAATTTATTAGGATTAATCTATTCTTTTAAAATTTTTGAATATAGTGATTTTATTATTGATCATTTTCTTGATTTCATTTATTAATAAAAATATTTACATACTTATAATAAAATCTTTTACATACTGGGCAATAATCATTATATATTTAAAATATATACATTTGCTTACTTATGTTATGATCATAAAAAAGAAAACTTTTAAATTTACTAATAACAAATAATTATTTATTTGTTTTCGATAAAATTAAAATATTAGCAAATAATATAAGTTTATGACGTATTAGGATATAAAATAATTTGGAACTTATAAAATATTTACAAAATTATTTAAAGGTAAAACTGATTCTGAGAACATTAAATGTATTTCTCATAAAAGAAAATGGTAACATTTGACAATTGTTTTAAAATTTGTTAACCTGTTATTTATCAATCTACAGTTAATTTTCAATTTTTTGTACATTATAAATCTTAAATATTTAAGTTTTATTAGATAGAAAGGAAGGCTTACTATAATTTAAAAGAATTGCTTTTATTTTATCATATTTTTTTTATTTATATTTATAGAACGAAAAAAATTCATTTAGTCTTCTATATTTATCATTATACAATCTCAAAAATGAAGGGTCCACGATCATAATACTTATTTATATTCACTTAATTTTATTAAAACAATTTAATATTCAATATTATTATCGCAATTTACATTCTAAGCATTTTATATCTTCAATATTTCGATACATAATTTTAACAGAATATGTCGTATTATAATTATAATTTATTTAAAGATTAAAAAAATAAAGTCAAGAATTCCAAAAATATAAAAACTATTTCTAATATATTCATAAACGAACAATATTTTTTTCGTACATTTTAAGTTTATGCATATACATACATTACATTCTGATTATTATAAATTCATTGTTAATTAATTTCTCACTTAATCAATTTTAAATATATTTTCCAATTTAATACGTTTACTCAAAGTAATTATCATTCTATTATGCATTCGTACCTTTTTAGACTCACTATTTGAAAATATAAATCGAATAGAGACTTAATTATTATTTCCGAAATTTCTGAAGCTTCCACGTTATTGATTAAAGTGTACGTTTAATTATCTGTTCAAAACAATCTATTCAATAATATTTCAATCTTTCTTCGATCTACGTTTCCAACAAAAATATTTGTTATAAAACTGTAAGTTTTATTATAAATACTAGTGCTATCAATACAAAGAATAACTATTAATTTACATTTAGCATTGCGCGTGACTTAATATTACTTCTGTTTTAGTAATCAGTTTACTTATTAAAAATATAAAATATTTACAAAAGTAAGATGCTGCACCTGTTGCAGGTTTCAGATCTTCTGAATATTGAAAATACATTTTATTACATAGTTTCTTATATTAAATCGACCGCACTGCGACAGATGATAACAAATTTTTTTTAATAATAGGTGTAAGAACTTGAATTAATATTTCTACTCTATTTTTTGAAGATGTAATAAAAATAATTTTGTATATCTTATGTCAAATGATGAATATTAACATAAAAATATATATTTGTATATAAATACGATTTTGAATTATTAAATCATTAAACAATTAAAATATGTGTTATAAGCTACATTCGAACAAATTTACGTAAAAAGTAATAAAAATAAAAAATATTACTATGGTATGTTATAAATAAAATTATCTTAGCATCTTAAATACACTTTCATTGAGCCCAATTGTTTCACCTAATATTCATCAGATACAGTTACCGCATTTTTATTTAGGATAAGATTCAGTCTTAAGGGTACTTCCATTGGGAAGAAAATTCCTGATGTGTTAATCACTACGCTTTATTTTATCTTAAATCTAAGTAGTCATAAGAGAATAAGTTTTCATTCATTTCTAAAGTCAACCGTAGCACCCTCATTTTCATCGCGAACGCTTATAGAACAAGAAATTGTTAATCCAATGAGCTTTTAATTATTTACAGTCTAAGCGAGATTTGCAAATCACTATTAATATTCTTAAGCAGTTCATTCTTGAGATAAAGACAATTAACGTAACTCTAAAAATTCGTATTTTCGAAATAATAATTTTGAAACAAATGCATGATAAGAGTAATTATGTATATATATTAATAGTAAAAAATGTTTGAAGAAACACGAGTTAATAAGACGATCTCGGATTTAATGCCCTTAAGAATTGTAACAACAAATTTTTATTTTTTACTTTCTATATATATATATATATAAATCAACATATGAACTATAAAAATATTTAAAGAGGCTTTTTTTATTAATTTAAATTCATCATACAAAAAAAAATTCTGATTATTTTAAGACAATTCAATAATATTTATTATACGAAATATTATTAAATTTTATCAACTTTTTAAGTTAAACTTGTAATTAATAATTATAAGGTATTTACATCCAAGAAATCCTGTTTTTATAACTTTTGTCGATCCTCATTATAATCGATTAATCGACTATTATGTTGCATATTTTTCTCTAATTGATCTAATGAAGTATAAATACAACGATGTTTAAATTAAAATAAGTTATTACTGTCTGCTTAATCTCAGAGTATCTTCTGCTGAAATAATAAAAATGGTTAAAGCAATGAAGGAGGTATTGAAAAACTAAACATTACGGCAAGATGCATAATATACTACTAGTACGGATCATTTGACAAGAACATATTTTCCAAATCTTGATTTCTATATCTTCTCGTTTTTAGTTGAAGGCATACGTCGATTTGAAAACGAAACTTCCCGCTTTAAGTACGAAATTTTATTTTGTGCCTCACAGTGAGGACATCAAATCATTCTAAATGCAATGATAGATATAGTACACATTGAGTGCGTTGGCTGATTAATCGACGAGAAGCTGCTTCTGAATCTAATCCCAGATAACATGATTATTTCAGATCAGGTTTTTTAATCTTCAAGGTAATAAGAAATACCACCCCACTCCTTAAAGGAACTTAATAAAATTCAACCTACCAGAAGCCAAAGTACCGGGGTCACTAACGTACAAAATAACGTCAATGTTTTGGTTGAATATCATGACGGAAATTCTTTGCCTAGATGTTAATTTCTCAGCAATGTTAGCAATGCATCTTTTAGACTATCTCGCTAAGGCAAAGCAATTAATATATAATCAAAACTTTAAGAAATAAGAGCCAAGAATAAAAATTTAGAGAAGCAAACACGAATTTCTGAACTAATTTACTCGTAAAAATTTGCTTGATACGTATTCAATTTATAAAAAAAATTGTCCGAACAGTGTATATATTTTGTTCCTATTGTATAAGGTTACGTACTATGAATTATAGGAGTTACTTATCCTATTAGCCCAGTTTTTACATTCAAGAAATATAATTCTGCATGTAAGATTACAGATCAACTCGAAATTCTAACTGTTTCATTTAATTGGCAAGAAAGATCGAAATTTAATTTTTTAATATTCCATATGAAACGGTGATGCCATTCATTATCATAAATATTATACGTATGACAAATGTAATAGTATTTTGCCTCATATTGAACATGTCTCTTAAATTGGAAAATTTAAGAAAGTCTTAAGATTTCGACTCTAATTTTAGCTATTGTAGAAAATTCAGAAGTTGATGAGGAAATTAGTTGATCTAACATATCTGTATAGCACGTGAATGTGCATTTAGTAAAATGTAATTCATTAACTAGAAAATTAATTATAATAAATGTCTACCAAATCTTGATTCAATAATGTCCATACAACGTAAGATTTTCGATAGTAATTATGTATTTTGTCAAAATCATCCCTTGTATCCTTATATTATTTATTGAATAATCTAATTGAATCATAAGTAAATGTAAAGAATATAAGAGTTTCGAATCTTTTGATAATTTGGTTAAGCATCACGTTATCACTTACAATTTTCATAAATAATGACTTAAGAAATATCACAATCTTTGTTGAATTAGATGATATTTAGATGAGATCAAGGAATTGTTTAATATTAAAATTTAAATAAATGTTGCTACGTAAATTTAAAAAATATTAATTGTATTGAATTATGAAATACGAAACTTCTCTTATTGATTGTTTTAATTTCATTGATTTATTAGATGCAGAATGGCAAAAGAACTAGGCTTTGGAAAGCATGCTTAAAGCACCGTAGTAACCTTATTTAAGACTTAGAGAATATGGTAGTCTTCCTTTAAGTAATAAATGTAAAATATGCTTTTATAATTTACATTATATAATTAAATTATTCAATCATATGTATATACTTTACAAACATATTTATAATAAACAAACTCTATCTTTCTTATAATATAAGTAAAAATAGCATATCCTAATAAATATTTTAATTTATCGTTGTATTTTGTACGAGCGTGGATATGCCATTTGTCGTCTTAGAATTGCAAGTACCTTCATGACAATGCTCTTCATACCTCTTATCAGAAAGAAAAGACATATTACAAATATCACATTTTAAAATGGGATAATCATTAGGATGATCGAGTGCTACATGATCTTCCAAGTTTTTCTGCTCATCGGTTCGATAACATTTGTTACATTTTCTACAAATTTCTGTGTGCAAGTGAAAACTCATATGCTTTCGCAAGTACCTTAACTTCATATTTTTTGAGCAAACTATACATTTTACTATTTCATTTACAAGAGGATCGTGCGTACCCTGAATGTGTTTCTTAAGCAAGGTTTTTTGTGTAAACGCTTTTTTGCACAAATGACAAGGATACCCTAAGCCATCGTGATAAGCTTCATGTTTTAATAAATAATCAATATGCATAAGTTTTCCACAAACCCGACATAAAGAAAAACCGTGTTCTTTGCTAAAATGTGATCTTCGCTGATGCGAGTTATCAAACTTTAATTCACACTTAAAACATTGATAGTAATTGGCTGCCTCAACATTATGAGTCTTCATATGTTTATCAAATTGTTCGCCAAGATCAAGTAACATTTTGCATTTCATACATTGTGTTTGGATGATTGGCTCAATGAATGATTTTCCTTCTGTTACTAGACAATTGTGCTCGATAAACTTTTCAACTCTATCAAAATTCGTCATACAGTAACTGCATTTTAGTAAGAGTGGATGATACCTTCTTACATGAATATTAAAGTACTTTAAATTTTTGAATTTTTTACCACATGGACAATGACTTTTCACATTGTGTTTCATTTTTAATGCGTGTTCTATTAATTCAGATTTATCCTTAAATTGCAATAAGCACGATTGACATTTGTATGAGCTCAGTTTTTCCTCTTCGTGTTTTACTTTGGCTAGTACTTGTCTGAAAATAAAAATTCTTTGTTTAAAATAAACAAGGATTATTAAAAAATGTAAATTATAATTAATGAAAATTATACAGTACTTGCAAAGATAAGTTAACGAGGGCACGACGTTGTTTCTTTTAGCTGACCTTATAATATCCGTTTCATTTTCCTGTGCAATTTTACCTTCCGTTGAATCAGATATCATAGTTTCTGAAGTATTGTGTAGTGAGCTAACAATAGCAGTTAAATCATTGTCTTCGTTTAAATTGCTACGATCCGAATTATCATCTTCTATATCAACCTCTTCATCATCCTCTGCTACTTGAATTCGCAAAATACTGTGACTTTTACTATATTTTGCTAATTCAGTAGAATCCATTTTTTGACTATTATAATCAATAGAAACCATGCCGGAATCATTTGATGAAGCATCACTGTCCTTAGAGCTTCTAGAATCTTTATAAGCTTCCTCGATTTGAGTATTTCTTGGCACAACTTCATACGAGTCATTTTTGTTCTTTTTAATTTTTATACTAATCCCAATGCCAGAATCTGTATCGTTAGCATTTTGGGAATGCGATTTGTCATTTTTTATATCAGGTCCTTTACATTTAACTTTATGTAAATATAATGTATGATAATTTCTAAATGACCTACCACATTCACAACTTGTTTGCTCAGAATTACCTGTATTATTTACATCTATATCCATACCATCTGGAAAATTCAAGTGGTCATTTTGTATTTGAGATTTGTCATTGTCTTTCTCTATGGTAATATAATTTGATAATGTATTTTGCGATTTAATAGATTCTTTTGCCATGTGAAAGGGTGAATTGAGGAAACGGCACTTGGATGGATCAAAATTTTCAGGAGTCTCGCCTCTTTTCCTGTGTAGTCTTTTATGAAAGCCAAAACTTTTTATACTTTTATAATAACCTAAACAAACGTTACATTTAAAGGGACCTTTAACGTTCGTAGTTCTTGTAGTTACATCAACAAGTTTACATCTTTTCTTCTGGATGGTCCAACGAGGTGTATTTCGTTTTCTTTTTTTGACAGCAACGGCTAAGGTTTCATTTATATCTATCTCACTAGGATCAAAGAAACTTTCAGTTTTTTTCTCTTCGTTAGGTATATCAGAAGATACCGGATTATCTATAATTTTTTCACACTGAGCAATTATTGAACGTATACAACCAACTTTATGGTAACCTTTCATATGATAAACTATATCTGTACATATTCTTTTACAAAGAATGCATTTTATTTTTTCTTTACCATTTAATTTTAAAAAATCTCCGAGTTTTAAATCACTATTTGAACAGTTTTCCGTTTTTTCAATATCTGGTATTTGTGCCGACTGGGTTATTTGTACTGGATGCATCGACGGTGAAGCAATTGGTACAATATTTTCAGATTCCATTTCTTTAATACATGTAGTTTTATTAGCATCGGAATTCACTGGTATACTCCTTGCATCTATTTTTGGTTTACTGTAAACTCTTTTTGGATGAACATAAACTCCATGGTCTTCGATCGCATGATGCCGTAAATGTACACTATCGATAAATTCTTTTCCACATGTTATACAGTAATACAATTTCTTTTTGCTTTTCACTGAAAATCTAAAATCAGGAAGAGCTTTATTGCTATTTCCTAGTGTAGGTTTATACATTATGGATGGACCAGACGACTTTGGCTGGCTTGATGATAAATTCTTTGGCAAATTAAATTGATGATAACTATTTTCATTACTTGAAATATTTTTAATCAGCTGTAAAGTTTCCCATATTTTGTCACAACTTTCCAGTTCAACCGTTACATCTTTCAACTGGTATTTACATTTGTAATATAATATTAGTTCTTCAATTTTTCTTTCACTGGGATCCTGAAAATAAATTTATAAGAAATTACAAGATGCATATTAATGCCATACAAATCCACTTTTAATATAAGTTGAAAAATGTTTGCAAACAAAATTTTCCATTTTAGCATCGACATTTATCAAATTCTACATTTTATTTTCATCATAAACATAAAAAAATATATTAATGTTCAAAACAAATTATTTTTATTATCAGAAATATTAACGTAATAAATTGATAGCCAATTAAAAAATTTTACTGCAACAGTACAGTGTACTGATCTTTACTATCGCTACAATAAATTTAATGCAAAACACAAAATCGAACAGTTTGAAACCATAACAAAAGGTTTGGTGTTGATTTGAAAACAGCAAAGAAAAGGTATAAAAAACAAAAGAAATAATAATAGAAATAAAAACAACTACAGTAACAATAATAAGAATAAGAAGAAGAAAGGATCAAATATTTCAAGCATCCGTCTTATTCGTGGTAATCCTTTTTTCTTTTTTTTTTTGTAAAACAATGTGTCATTTGTTTTGAATGATTAATTATGATAATGATGAATAACAATAATCGGAGCTACGTCTACGGCGTTTAAATAATAGTGCCAAAAAACGCACGTCGTATGTCGGTGGCGAGACGGCTCTCTGCATAACGACATCGCTGACCTGGGGGAAGACCTGAGGCAACTGCTCGTCAACCCCACTGAAGTCGTGGGACTCGTGCTCGTCCATACCGTCGGTGGCAATCATCTCCGGACCTATCTCCTGCGGCTCCTGCTTAATCACGAACTCACCGGTCTGAGCGACGGAGAAGGTCGTAGCAATCGCCAGCTGGAGGCCGCCTCCCGGCTCCTCCGCGGCGCTCCTGTCCTCCTCCATCATCGGCGTGCGCCCGAGCAACTGCGTCGCTCGCGAACCTCCCGCTCACGCAAAAATTAGCACCGTCCTCGAGACACGGACGGATGAAATCGAGAGTTCGGATCGCGAGTCTAGGGCACGATTAGCACGCAACTGACGTACCAAAAACACCAGGAAAAGACTCAGCGCGTACGCGCGCGACCGTCCGACTCTCGTGGCGAGGCGCGAACTAACAATGGCCCCGAGGCGTCCCAAACAGACATGTCACACGAGTTATAGGTACGGCCGTGCAAGCCTATGATGCCATAGCCGCAGCTGGCGATTTCCGAAGCGACACTGCCGCGGATGAGAGTCTTTCCTCTTTCTTTCTCCTTCCTTCTCACGACACACAATGAGTGTGCGCACGTGTGATTCTCCTCCGGCGAGTTCGTTCCCGATGACTACGCACTAACAAATCAACCTCTCCCGATTCCCGTCAACGGGCTACTGGCGCTCGTTCCACTTCCTCCTCTATCGCTATTGCTTTTCCTCCTCCCGTCACCTCTCCGCGCGTCCCTTCCATCTGATCTTCGGATTAAATGACTTTCTACTCGCGCCTTGGCGCTGACGTCCGTGTGCTGGGACACCTTTTACAAACCCAACTTGCACCAGTAGTCGACGAAAAGGCTAGCTCATCTGGTTCCCAGCTAAGCCGATATTTTCCTCCTCGCGTAAGGGCCATGTACGAGCCCGGATAAGCGAGAAGAATATTCAATGATTATAAGAGAGAGAACCCTCTTATGGATGTTTAACAATTATCCTAAGCCAATAGCTTACTGGTTATGTGGCCCTGGAGGGATATTTCGATGATACGTTTTAAGATCCGAAGCTTGAGCAATTGAAATATCCTTCGGGTTAGTCCAGAATGTTTACCATCTCATATGCCAGAAGAAAATTCTGCTGATTCAACGATGGCTTCGAGAATAACCGAGATGCCACGGCGGTGTGAATCGTTTATTTAAGCTAATCGTGTGAATTAATGATAATTTGATTTGAATATAGCAAATAAGTAATGGCTAATAGACCGAACGTTCTTTGTTCAACGAAGATGTGGATCGGGGTGGTTTAGCTACGTCCCTGAATGCTAGTTGAGATTAGTTAAGATTTCGGAAGGGAGTAATGGACGAGTTCATGTTTATGGATACCACAAGACTCCTACAAATGAAATAGACCACCAAAAAAAGTGAAGTATATTCTAAAATACGTATTTATGTAAAATTGTATTTGCGAATGATATGGTTTTACATTTCCACAACGCGATAACTTGTATAAAGTCGAGAAAAAATTAAAGAAATGTAAATAGCATTGCATAAGATTTGTAAGAGAGCAACTCTGCTTCCCCAACTTAATATTATTGATCTGGAAAAATACCCGTAACTGGATTTTCGCATAAAAACAAGTAGACTGTAAAGTTAACAAGGTCAAGGCAATGGAAATACACGACAATCAAAACAGCATATTGAAATAGGAATTTTTTGTGAATTTCAAATCTATTAAAATACTCGATGTACGGGAATCTTATTCATGGTTATGATCGTTGTCGGTTGATCAACACTATTTTAATGTATGCACATATTACATACTTGCATTGCGTGCACGCACACACGCACGCGCGCGCGCACACACACACACACACACACACGATCTTACGTAAACGTATATATATATATATGTGTGTGTGTCTGTGTGTGTGTGTGTGTAGGCACACACATATATAAATATATATATATATATATATATATATATATATATATATATATGTATGTACGCATATGTATGTATGCGCGTCGTATGTGTAGGTATATATTACGCTCCGCAAAGCGACGCAGTATTAGGAAAGATCGAGTCAGAAGTCGGACGAGTCCATTTTCGTGCTTGAAGGCAGCCCAAAAGCAGCCACGCGGCGAAGCCATGCGAGTAGAATTAGATAACAGTAGCTCGATTTTAAAATAATAACAATCCAGGATTAATAGGAGAGCCGTTTGCTTAAATTATTCTTGCACCTTAAATGTTTTGCCTATAAAAAGTATCGCATTCTCAGCTTAGATGCATAATTCCCCAATGATTTACATCCTCTTAACTCTAGATGAGGCATTGATCGGCAAGGAAAATGTATATAACTGAGGAATATTAGCTAAAAAGACACTGAGAAGAAGAAGAGCTGTTCAACAATCCAGCAAGTAAACGATCGATTCTTCGGGCACGGCGAGCTGCTTTCCTCACGAAGGTTGCTATTTATAGAACTAGAACGGGTGGAACATTGTAATTCTGTGTAGAATGAAAGAAATAATTTGCTTTGCGAAGAATTAGCATGGCATATGCCAACTTACTTCTTCAATAAAATACTACGCATCTTACATTACATGTACTGCATATGTAACTTGTAATAACACGAATTTCACAGAATTATGTTCTTTAATTTCACAAACCATGATCTATTAAATATCCCTTCTTATTCTATTAATATTTAAAATTTGTCAGTCTTGAATATTTATTATATCTTCCAAATGTTTCAAATTATTGTGGACCATCGTCTTCCATTATTATTTCAATCGAGCAATATGAATAATACATAATATTTTTTACATGACGTTTAAACGAACATAATACAGGGAAGTAGTTATTGTTATAAGAGGTGATCCAAAAGCGAGTTGATTTTGTTCCTTTATTGTAGAATTACAGGAGTGATTATAAGAAATTTTATTTAGAAGTTTATATATTTCATTACATTATATACTTAATAAATATTTAATATCATGTAATTTACCAAATATAAATTTTCTAGATTATCTAATATATTGTACATTCTAAAAATTTGTTAAACATAAATTTTGTCTTGTAGCCTTCACATATTGTTTTTAAAATTCGTAATTAAGTCACTTTTATAACTTTCCGTGATTTCAAATAAAAAAGACATTATCTTCTTTTTAAATTCAGATAACGAATTTGTAGCGAAAAGGAAAATATTAGCTTACTACAGTTATAATTTTACTAGTTAAAAATTTTCTTGTAATAAAATATCGGCATGAGAATAAAATAATCTAAAAATATTGCACATACATACGTAGAGACCAACATTATGTCTATCCCAAGTTTTACTCAAGGCTGTTAAATCGTGAACGAGATAAAGAGACTTGCTTTCATAAAGTAATGGTGAATAGTCGTATGATTACTTTTTTATAACATTTGCTGTTTGTTTTCGATACGTTGATATCGATAAGTGACATTGTTCATTACAGCTTAAAAAACTAATTTTCATATTTCATTTCTTTCTGTACGTTATTCGCTTTTCTTGCGTTGCTAACCTACATATGGGAGCGTATAGTCTTGTACATTTTACTGTTGTTCTTAAACACAATTGCGATTGTGCCAAATACAATTCGTATATTTAATTGTACACCTTGAATATGCAAAACTAATATCTATATTAGTGTATTCTTAAATTAACGATTCTAAATGATAAAATTCGATAAAATAATGTGCATCAAGTTACAAGCATCGTACCAATATAATGTTTATATTATAGTTAGTTGCAAATATATTTTTTCTATATATTTTTTCAAGAAGTGCCTGTCATTAAACAACCTGTAAACGACTGATTTACAAACAAATTTTCGAGCTTATGGAGATTTAAATATACATAATTATAAAAATATGTTTATAAAATTTACGGGAGATATTTTAATTATTATAGTTAAGGTCCGTACTCGTTAAGTTTATATATCTATCTACTACCGAAAAAAAATGATTAAAAATATTCGAAAAAAAATACGCTCGTGTGCGTATGCGCGCGCGCACGCGCGTGTGTGTGTGTGTACGTATGCATGCGTACATGCGATGTATCCAAATTAAAAACGTTAATATTCAGGTAGGTAGGAGGTATTAGTAAGAGTTTTATTTAGTTAAAGAAACAATGATATACTATTAAAAATTAATATGGTTTTATTTTATAAAATTTTAACTTTAGAAATCTGATAAAATAATATTTTCTTCTATTCTAGATACATATTTTCAAGTATACATATAATGACCGAAAAGTGAAGGTACTTCTTTCTATTCATTACAAATTTGTTTTAATTCGAAGTATCTATTTTCAAGTATATTATCATATTTTCAAAGAAATGTGAATAAGAAGTAAAATAAATAAGATTGCATGAATCAAATATTTATCAAATAACGTGGCAGAAAAGCGTATTCTCATATATACGGTGACGAAATTTTTCGGTTTCGAATTCTATCAAAGTGAGCTTAATTATTTCAATGATTGACAAATAACTACTTAACTTTTATAAATAAATTATAACGAGGTAATCGCAAATGTGCTTACTATCTTAATTACATACGTGAATAGCGAGAAATGAAATGATTAAATTTCTTAAGGCACAATAAAGTAAGAGCTGGGGCGTACGCTAGCTTCTTCTGATATGGTTGATCAATACTGGTTAGAGGACGTACGTACATGAAATTCGTTGTGAATATTCACTATGAAATTGTATAAAATATTAAAGCTACTGTCACTTTACTATGAAAGATTTTCTTCTCACTTTCACATTTTTAAGTCATTTACATGTCTAAGAAATTCTAATAACTGTTCTCATACTTGTTTTCATCATAATTAAACATGCTACAATACTTAAATCATTTTTTTTTTCAAATCTCTATAAAATAAATAAGCAAAATGATATTTACAATATGTACAGTATAATCTAAATATTCAAACGAAATTTTGTCCAAGGTTATGGCTTCTTATTCATTTCCTTGTGGAATGACATTGAGTCCACCATTTAGAAATACCTATACAGACGTCAAGTTTCAAGGCTTCTAAAGTTTAAAACGTTGATTTATCAATCATATCAGTTCTTGGAAGAAGATTTTAAAATATAAAAATAAGTGATATCTTATTAATTAATGCAATGCTTTTATTTCGTACATATAACTTTTCCTAAAATATTTCACAACAAAATGATTAATTTAATTTGATGTCTTTCTATTTTGAATCTTAATATTAAATGATTACTTTGTTATCCTATTATTTTAAAAATGAAATAATTACTTTGATATCATTTTCAATTTTATAACGATTATGGATAAAAAAAATTGTGAGAATTTTCTGTTAACATATTGAATTAAAAATTAGATAATATATATTTTTTAAACATAGTGGCAAATGATAATTTACATTTAATTTTATGATTTTTGCCATTAATTTTTATCCAAATGGATTTACAAAAGTATATAAAACCTCTTTTATATTACGAATGAGACTAACATTTTTATACTTGTATATGCTTTTGGTAATATCTCGTCCTCTAAAATTTCTACAATGTTTAATAAAATAACTGAATCAATTAGATTTTGCTTAAATTAATAAATATTTATCAACACCTAATTGTAAGTAAGGCCAAAGTAATACATTGTAACATTGAAGTTTGAAACTTATAAGACGAATATTTAATCTATAGAGATACTGGAGACAAAAAATTGTAAAAAAAACTTGTTTCAAAAAACAAATGTAAAAATATGAAACCAACAAATAAAATTAAATTATATTCAATGTATTTACAAAAAAATATTATTGTAAATCGAAATAATTTTTCATATATGTGGATGATATACGAAGGCCTATTATATTATATTCCATTTTATGCAAAGCTTTATATAAATAAACTAACAATAAAATACATTTTATGTTAAATAGTTATAAAAGGTTTAAATACTCCGAGGAAAAAAAAAGGTTAATTAATGCATAATATTATTTAAAATATTTACTATATGACTTAGTTCTTATAGTTCGTAAAAGTTATATAAAATTCTATTAAAATTCTAAGCATTTCATTCAATAAAAAATCATTTTAAAAAAATCTTAAAAAAATTATTTTTATATTTATTTAATAAATATGAAAGTATTATAATTTACATTACTCGTAAAATATCAAGAAATTTCATGTGCTGTTAAAATTACAATAACTGTGTAAGGTTATACCTCCTTATAAGATTTATGAATTCCAAAGTTTCTATTATCAAATTACCTTCATTTGGAAGTAATTTAAGTACAGGCCGAATGCTCGTAGTGTATCATTTAATACAAAGAATAAAAATAGCGATAATATTTTCGATTTTCCGAATTATTGACGTCCCATAGTATAAATATGAAAACTGTCTATTTATTTATTAAATGCACTTATTAATATATCTGTAAATACAACAATTATTCGACTTTTCAGATCTAAAATATTGTATACAATTAATGAAAATTAATTATTAATATATATAAAATATACTTTTTTATTTGTATAATGTTTACAAGAAGATAATAATGTATAATAACGTTAATTTAAATTTAAATTATGTTCATATGTATAAGTAATAGTGCTTTTAATGACTTAACACGGGACAATGATAGAATAAGTGGAATAAATATTTTCTGTTGTTAGAATAATATTAAAATCTTATATTATATATAAATATTCATATTTGGAATTCAAATTAGAAATTAGATTGCTTTAAAACAAGAAAGAAAAATATATATAATCACAGTTTTAAGGTATGATCTTATTCGTTTTAGGTAGACAACTTTCTGTATAACATCTTATGATATTCCATAGCTATCTAAAGAGTAGAATCGTTTTTCAATTTAATTTTAAAATAGTATAACTAGTTAACGATATTGTCTAATATTAAATATTCTATTGAAATATTATATTCAACCGAGAAAACACTTCTATTCTTCGTTACATCGCACAATATTTTGAATTCTAATATGTCAAATTTAACGAACGTAGTTACTACGTTCAATGATAAATAATCGTTGATCTAAAATTTTAATTAAATTTAATAAGTGAACTTATATTTAGTTACTGGTGAACTCGTATTCGAAACCAATGAATGCCTTTTGTATTTTATATTTGATGTAATGAAATATTAATTCAAAAACTCATATCACAGCATAGTAAATTACAAATACTACTATTTGGATCAATTGCTTAAAGTGTTTTAATTGAAATAAACTTAAAATTAATAATAGGAAAACTAATGTTTAATAAAGCATATTTTTGGTATACATTTTTAACGAATTACATTTGTATTTGGAATTATGCTTAAGTTAATGGCGTGATACAGTTACTTATTAAATTCGCAAAGAATTACAATGTATTCATACAAATTGATTTAATATTTGGTTATCGCTATATATAATGTTGATTTATTACATCAAAAAATCTATTTCTGTTTTTACAATATATTGAATAAATTAAGTTACATAAAAATAATTATAATTGTTTCAATTAAAAAAAAATAAGATTACAACGTAAATTTAGAATATAACAATGTAATTTTATACAAATTATCTCTTGTTCATTTATTTAAATATCAGAACATATTATTTACAACAAAGTATTTATTGTAAG